ATGGTGTACTAAATGGTTTATTTTTTAATGTGTATTTCCTTTTGCTCTGGAAATAGCCAATTTACTTCTGGACCTGCTATTTCCTCTGATGAGGACCAGAGTTTGTGATGCTGGAACCCAAGTCCCTTCCAATTTCCTCCGTTCTGTAAGTAGCACAAAAGATGACTAGGTAAATTTGCTCCGTTCCTACAACTGACCTTTGCCTCATTAACGAAGGAACAAGTGGTACTTTTCCTGGCAATTTAATGCAGAACAAGGTTTTAAAAAGAGAAGAAACAGTGATTGGGGGCTGCAAACATTTTCCCTCCAACCCTGCCTGTTCCCAGTCTTGCCTGCTAGACTGGGGGCGGTGGGGAGGGTGTTACTGGTAGTTGCTCTCCCTAATGGTCTTGAGCTTGAAGGAGCAAGTTTTGACAAATGGCCCGAACCATGGGTTTCTAGCTATTCATCAGAACTTGTTCCTTAGAATGAGGTGTGTGTGTGTGTGTGTGTGTGTGTGTTTCTGCTTTACTTGCTCTCACCAACCTGCCTTTCTCAGGTTCTCCTTCCTTCATCATTCCCTTTCTCTTGCTCTGCCTCTCGTACTGTTATTTGGTTACGGAAATCCCCATACTGCTTTGCTGGCTGCCTAATCAGTCCTACTGCCTGAACCAAAATGGTTACAGAAGGAAGTTGACAGTAATACAAGGAGAAAGATGGGCTAAAAGAAGCCAATGTGAGTTGGTCACCTCCTAGTGCAGTGTTTCTCAACCTTGGCAATTTGAAGATGTCTGGACTTCAACTCCCAGAATTCCCCAGCCAGCATTCGCTGGCTGAGGAATTCTGGGAGTTGAAGTCCGGATATCTTCAAGTTGCCAAGGTTGAGAAACACTGTCCTAGACACTGAATTGTTTATACGCGAATGTTGGCTGGGGAATTCTGGGAGTTGAAGTCCGGATATCTTCAAGTTGCCAAGGTTGAGAAACACTGTCCTAGTGGGTCTAGACAACTTTCCCTGGTCAATTTGCCCTGGCCAACCTGCCTGGGACAACCTGCTGTGCCCAATTCACCACAGGACAACTCGCCGTGGGACAATTCAAGTGGGACACCTCAAAAGAGGGACAAGTGAATTACAGTGTGGGTCTTGTCTTGCTTTAGGTTTGAACCTTCTCAAGCTAGAAGATCTCAAGGCTGGGATGAGCTTCAATTCTACTTGTCTGTCTCTTGAGTTATTCCACATTGAATTGTCCCGTGGCGAGTTGGCTGTGGCAAATTGTCCTGTGGTGAGTTAGTCATGGCAGGTGGGCTGCGCTGAGTTATCCCATCCCACCTCCCAGCCCTTGTTGTGTTAATACCACATTCTCTACTAAAGCATCACTAGTCACTTAGGTCATTTCCTCACTTCTAGCGCCTTCATAACATCACCTAGCTTGAAAGGATATGAAACCTGCCCTCATTAAGTTGAAGCAACAATAGTTGGATGACTCTAAAAGGTGTTACACATTACTATGTGCAGGTAGTTCCTCACATAGCAACCACAATTGGGATCAGTAACTCAGTTGCTAAGCAACATGGTCACTAGGCGGAAAATCATGTCACTCTGATTGGATTTACAGTGCATTCAGAAAGTATTCAGGCCCCTTTGTCAATTTTGTTATGCTGCAGGCTGATTCTACAGTTGTTGACATTCATTTTTTCCCCCTCATTAATCCGCACCCCATAATGGCAAAGTGAAAATAGAATTTTAGAAATTTAGGTTGAATTCAACAACTGTAGAATCAGGCTGCAGCACAACAAAATTGACAAAAGTGAAGGTCGGTCTGGATACTTTCTGAATGCACCGTATAATCTTACTTCCCCTTTGGTTATTAAGTGAAGACATAGGGTCACTAAGCAAAAAAAATTGTGTGGGCATGACTTATAATTTTCCTTCCTCCTTCCATATTGTACAGTATTAATTCTGCTTGACTCAAGCGAAAAATACATGTCCGTTGTGAAAGTAAGCAAACGGCAATCATGTGACTGCAAGATGCGGGGATTGTAAATGTGAGGATGGGCTGCAAAGTTATTTTTTCCGAAGCATCGTAACTTTGAACGGTTGCTGCATGAGGACTAACTGTACTGAAATGAATCTTATCACACTGTGTTGGGAAAAGTACAAGGCACCAGTTTAATGTGGTATCAGATAACTGACCTTGACTACGAATTGAAGATGCATAGAAGTATAGAAGGGTCCTTCAAGAATGATGCATTTTTGGCCGTTTTTAAGGGGGCTTACATGTAATTGCTTTGCCTGTGGCTCAGTGTGGTGGCTTAACGATTGGGTATATTGCGCACGTCTAAGCAATCGGGTTAATTCAGTAACATGGTTCAGTTAACCATGAATTCACATTTGGTATGAAGATAGTTGTTTGCTAGAGCAGATGGAGAAGAAATAGATCTGTTCTACATCTTTATTTATACTGAAGTGCAGGAAATTCCTTTATAGACTATTATTATGTTTTCCTTTTAGGCGCAAATAGGTAACTACAAACCAGATATGGGTTCCTACCAGTTCGCACCAGTTTGGTAGAACCAGTTCGTCAAATCTACCGAACCGGTTAGAAGAGGTTCCACCAGTGGACCCAGAAAGCAGGCCACACCTACAGAAGGGGTTCCAAAATTTTTTGAAACCCACTACTGACACACACACACACACACACACACACACACACACACACACACTCACACAGAGAGAGAAAGAGAAAGAGAAAGAGAAAGAGAAAGAGAAAGAGAAAGAAAGGAAGGAAGAAATAAATAAAGAAAAAAGAAAAAAAGAAAGAAAAGAGAGATGAAAGAAAAAAAGGAAAAAGGGACAGAGAGACAAAAGGAAGAGAGAGAGAGAGAGAGAGAGAGAGAAAGAGAAAGAGAAAGAGAAAGAGAAAGAGAAAGAGAAAGAGAAAGAGAAAGAAAGAAAACACATGGCCGACAAGCAACTCCCACAAAGAAGGCCACACCCATGTTTTCGAAAACATTCGAAAATGTTTTGAAACCCACCACTGCAACAGACACATGTATCTAAAGACCAGTTCTTCTGCCATTATAGACTGTGGTACTCAGCAGCAAATCAATATCTTACTATTCTAGACATACAGAAACTTGCTCAATGTCTGGCCCTGAACCCATCACCTTTCCCCTCTCAGATGTGCAGAGGTGTCCCATCATATGGAAGAAGAGTGGCCCAGCAACCTCTATGAAAGAGGTTGGGCTGCATTTATGACCCACAACTGAGTTGTTGCCTTTAGGAAGGCAGAGGAAAGCTAATGAGAGAAACAGAGATGAGTGCTGCCCTCAAGAGTTTGATCCCAGCGGCACTTGAGTTTTCCTCTTCATCTTTGCCTAGTCTTAATGCAAACAGGAGAATGCATAGAGATGTAATTGTATCATTCTCCTGGTAAATTTCATTTTTTTCTGGAGCCCAGTCAAAGGTTGAGGGGGGGAAAACATTAAAAAATGCTTGCCCAACCCCATGTGTGTGGATGGTTCACTAGCCAACTTCATTCTTTCTCTACTTGGCCTGAGGCCTAGATGCTTTTCAGAGCCTTTCTGACGCTGCCATCGCTTAAACCAGCAACAAACTCTATTAGCTGCTACTGCAAATTGGATTTGTTCACCGCGATTGGATTTTGCTTTCGGCGTGTGTGGCTTAGGTGGCGGGGGCGGGGGCAGGGAGGGGAGAGAGGAAGGGAGTGAGAATAATCACAAATAATAGTGAATGTTGCATTTCTCTCCAGAGTCCAAGCAGAACTGTCATCTGTTCCTACAGGGTGGCAGGAAACTAAAGATTTAAGGGAGCAGCAGGAGACAACACACGCCACTTTTTCACTGCAGACCTGTTAGATGTTAGATGGTGGGTCATCCACACCCCCCCCCTTTCTTGCTTTTAGAGCTAAGACAACAGCTATAGGAAATGTGACCTATCTTGAGAAGGAGGGCCATCAGTTGTAATAACTATAAAATGGGAGTACAAAACAAGCTTGCACTCTAATGTTACAGTTGTGTAGCTGATTATTTGCACTATATTTACATATACAGTTGAATCCCAGTCCTGCAAGACTGCCAGGTGGAAGTCATGTCTTTTTCTATGGCAGTTTTTAAAAAAATTGCTCATACAGCTATGGCAATTTATTTATTCACTGGTCCTTCTTGTATGTGTGGGTTCATTTATGCACCTGTGTGCACATTGTTGACTCCGGGCAACTGATGAATTAGTCACTGCAGCTTTCTTGGCAAAATTTTGAAAATGGTTTGTCATTGTATGCTTCCCAGGATGGTGAGAAGTGACTGGCCTAAGATCCCCCAGCTGTTTTTTTTTTTATGTGGGACTAGAACTCATTGTCTCCCAGTCTCAACTTCTAGGCTAAACTGGCTCTCACCTTTCTCTCTACTAAGGGTCAAAGTTTGTTCTAAAAGGCAGGGACAAGAATGAATAATGGATTGGAGAATTGTAGGGCTGTTAAAAAGAAAGACCAGATCTACATTACCTGGCAGACGTCAGCATGAAAATAGCACACCAAGGCACTTGGCACATTACAGATGTGCAGAATGAAGAGATTATGGGAAGTTGTAATAAACTAAGTATATGGCTTAGACATCAGCCATGGCTTATTGTACTAACCGTGGTCAAACAAAACGCAGCTGTGCCTCACGTCTGGATTCAGACCACCTCTTAGGTTGATTTGGGATGTCAGTCCTCAGCAGTGGTGAAATTCAATTATTTTTTTTACTACTGATTCTGTGTGCGTGGCTTGGTGGGTATGGCAGGGGAAAGGATACTACAAAATCTCAATTCCCTCCCCACTCCTGAGGGAAGGATATTGCAAAATCTCCATTCCCACCCCACTCTGGGGCCTGCCAGAGGTGTTTTTTGCCAGTTCTCCGAACTACTCAAAATTTCCGCTACTGGTTCTCCAGAGCCTGTCAGAACCTGCTGAATTTCACACCTGGTCCTGAGTCTCAGTAGATTTAAATAATTTATTCTGTGTAGGAGCAGAGGTATCATTTCTTTTTCTCTGGGAGGAAATTATCTTGGTATGAGGTACGACAGAAGGCATGTAAAGCTTAGGTGAAGCAGAGGATGAAACCAACTGCAGTTTTACCTTGCTGTACTGTAATCCCTAATCACTTCATGTCCTGTAATAGTATAAAATTAAGGGAAATCTGTGAAAGAGTTGAACTGAGGGCTGACAGGGTAGGAGAAAGGTAAAGACTCCTTCAGTGGAGCTCAACTCATAGCAGCTTCACAGATTTTCTTGGCCAGTATCTGCTTTCAAGATATTTTGTCTTCTTAGAAAGATTTCCTGATGGTCTCCTATCCAAGTACAAATCCAGTTTAACCCTGCTTAACTTTGGGAAAAGCAAAGTGCCACCAAATAACTGCAGGATGCCTGAATGCATCTTGATTACGGCCTAAAGTCAGTGAAAGAACAGATGATAGCTACCATGGGCTCCAACAGACAGGGAGGCTTCCAGCCAGCCCTTCAGTCTTTAAAAAGCATGCCACAGAGGAACGTAAGATATTGACCTAGAGAGTTCCAACATATAGAAGCAGAGCCACAGGTGAAGAAGGCTATGGATAAGTGGGGCAACCTTTCCCTGCAACTGTCAGATGGGTGGTATTATCCATGCCACCTTCTTCTTCTTTCTTTCAGATTAAAAAGACCGCAGTCATCAGTAAGAGTGAGACAGAATACTCTTTGCTGCTGATTTTTGCAGTCCAGATCTGACAGCTTTCCTACTGATGCAACATGCTGGCATTATTGTGCCCCAAACAGTGCCTGCTGTTGTTTCATTGCTGCTGCTGTTTCCCCAAATTGCAGGTTAAATCCTCAAGCCCCAATGTAGATACTGCTGGTGCTTTAATTGAAGGTTAAAGTTGAAATTTTGGAGTGTATCTGAAAGATTTGTTTTGGGGCCACCGAGCTATGCTTATGATCCTAGACCTCAAAGTGGAGGAAGCTAAAGAATCCAGAGAGCTTAGAACCCTAAGTAAAATAGTATAGAAAGTTAGGGATGGAGTTCCTTGATGCTAATTATTTGTTTTTATTTTAAAAGAGCCTCAACAAGGACGACATCCTCTAAAAGAATTTAACTGGCATTATTAATTCCAATATCTAGGTCAACGATGGCGAACCTATGACACAATGTCAAGAGTGACACACCACATTTTGGGTGACACACTGACATTCACCAACGTCCGACAATATTCTTGAAAGCACACCCTGTTCTTGCACAAGTTTTGGAGGCTGTGTGAGAATGGGGTGTGTCCTCATGTGGCCTCCGGACCCTCCAGAAGTCATGTGAGAGGGCTGCCAACTTCTGAAGCCTCCAGAACTTCTGAAAACCATACAAGAATGGGAGATGCTTTTGTGGTTTTCGGAGGCTGCAGAGGCCGTGGAAGAGCCTTCTCCCAAGCCGCTTCAAGAATGAAGGCCTCGGGTGACCCAGAACTGCTGCAGGGCCTGTCAACAGAAAGAGAACACTACCTGAGGGTAAGTGTGCAGCAGATTCTGGGAAACACACATGATTGGACTGTATATATATATATATATATTAAAAACAAAATGAATATGTAAAGAATTGTTTCTCTTTTGCTTGAAGGGGAGGGTAGTGAGTCAAATTAAGCATTTTTCAAATTTTGGACACACCAAGCCGAAAAGGTTCTCCATCACTGATCTAGGTGCTGGGACTGTCCTGTCTCTGTGGGAATGGTAAAACTGAGCGTGGGAGGCAGGAAATGCCACACATCAAGGTCAAGGATTTTTGTAGGAAGGGAAGGAAAATACTGAACCAAGAAGTTTGCACAAATGGGACCAAAAAGAACGTGCTTTGTGTCACTTTGTCTCTCCCTCTCTTCCCCCCACCCTCCTGATTTTTTTTTTAAATAAACAAGTTGTTTGTCAGCTCAATATTTAGGGGCATTTCCCAGTGGTAGAATGGGTCACTGCGCACTTTTGATTCTGTTGGATGGGCAGTAGATGTTGATTGGTGATCTTTGCGGTCGCCACCAGCAAACTGCAGAGGCAGAGGAGAACAGCTGCAAAGTTATCTTGGCTGAGGCAGAAGCTTCGTTGAGAACTCTTGAAAGGCTGACATGTTCTGCCTGACAAGACGGCAGAAGATGTGTCTGTGCCAATGACAAGTCCAGCAACTTTCCTTCAACATGGCAGGAGTAGGGAACTGACACAGTGTGGCACTTTCAGCAGTCTGGACGATCCTTCTCCAGGTCTTTGGAGTCCACAGACATGGCAAATAACTAGGGAAGAAGGCATTATTGATGAACGCTTCCTTTTCTGAACCTTGATCAGATGAATGTGGTATGAGGCAATGAGTCCCCCTCCCCTTAAAATACACTCCCTAAATCAGTGTTTACACTCCTTAAATCAGTGTTCACCAACATCGGCAACTTGAAGTTCGCACACATTCAAGTTGCAGGCTTGAAAAAAATACAGCCTTAAATCCTCACACTCACAGGTCTTCCTTTCTATATACCTGCCAAGGTTTTTCCAGGATTAATTGTTGGACTATTGTTGGGGTGCTTACTGGTAGTCCTGCACCAGAGATGGGTTCCTACCAGTTCACACCTATTCGGTAGAACCTACCGAACCGGTTAGAAGAGGTTCCACCAGTGGACCCGGAAAGGTAGGCCAAACCTACAGAAGAGGTTCCAATTTTTTTGAAACCCACCACTGGTCCTTGGATATGATTATTCTACACTATCATGCTCATATTTATAAAACTCAGTGCCTCTGTGAAAGGTAAGGATGACTACTGCATTTGTGGTGCAATCAGAACATTGCGTGTGTTGAAAACCAAAGATGCCTTTTAAAAAACAAGTTTACATCATATTCTTATGCATGCCAATGCTGTGTGTGAGGTAATTTAAGGTGGTTCTGACAAGTGTCGTCGGCATCTTCATATCCGGTCACATGGGTGGCAAGCCACTCCCACAAAGGAGGCCACACCCACAGAGTAGGTTCAAACAATTTTTGAAACCCACCACTGTCCTGCACCTACCTTGTACTGGTCACTGGGACCCAGATTATTCCACGATTCTTGGTTTTTCTCCCAGCTGGAAAACAAACAAAATAAAATTATACATAATGAGTGTGTCATCTGGAATTTGCAATTGAGCTGCTTCTTGCTCTGTTGCTCGTAATGTGCACTAGGATAGCTTTTATCCCCAGCCTGTTTTGGGGAATTCTCTTGCAATGAAGATATCTTGATCAGAAAGACCATTAGGGGACCTGGACTCACCAACCCTCCCACGTGTTATTGCTTGAATTCATGTTGGTACTTTAAGCATTAATAAAAAGGGACACTAGTGTGGACAAAATGGGTGTCATATAGCTACAAGCGGTGGACTGGGACCAAGGAGACAATTATAGTGCTCACTCAGTCACCATTTCTTACTGCAATCTACATCATAGTCTTGCGAGGATAAAACATCACTCTTTGTTTTGTGAACTGCCCAAGGAGGGGGGAGTATAAATGTATTAATACATTATAAAAAAGGCTCATCACCATGATCTTCCACTCTTCCACTCTTAAAGGGAAATAATAGTTTAGATAAAACCCACAAATATTCTTCTGCCACTTTAAGATGAGCAAATTTGAAGTAGTCTAAATTTTACGGACAATGGTCTGCTTTATTAGTTTCATGGATTATTATCCTGAGATAAGAGATATACTATACTGCCCGTTCTTACAGAGACTGGAACATAAATTGGATTTTAGGGGGAAATAATGTTGTTTTTATTGTAAGGTTTTAAAAGCTTCCTGCTATTTTAATTCTGTTGGGTTGGGTTTTTTTTTCCAGGTTTTGAACTAATTGTTTTATAAAAAACAGTTTATATAAGCCATCCCAGAATGATAGACAACAGGGAATAATGAAATAAGTACATTTTTAAAACCTTGTACAATAATTAAGCCAAAACAATTATGAAAGTTACATCCGCTGCTGGCACTGTTCATTTTTATGCAAAGCTGGGTTGTCTAGTAGCTCTTCCAAGATTATTCCCTTTGTTTCTAAAACTAGTAGTAGGCAAATATAAGAGGTAAGATAACAGCCATCAATGGAAAGATAAAATAGCCTTTTTTCTTTGACCCATCCTGGCTGAGCATTATGGGAGTAGAATCCAATGAATCAGGATGTTTGATAGGCTCCAAGAATAAACCTTAGGCCTACACAATTTTGCACACCTTAATTATTTTTTCCCTCCAGAATAGCCCGGAGAAACGGGATATAATAACTTAAACTGATAAACATTCTTTTTATCTCTGAACCTATACGAAGTTCACTTAACTATGTCTTATTCTAGCCACCCAATTTCAAATCATGGATTCTGAATCTAGCTGGCTGGCTTGAATAAAATGCAATTAAGATTAACTAGTGCCTCTAGGCAAGATGATAAACGGCGGTTAATTGAAAACAGACAGGGGAAGTTACGAGTCTCTCTGAATTGGTTTGTGGTAAAAAATATGACCTTGTTTCTGCAGAACATGACTGTGTGTGTGTGTGTGTGTGTGTGTGTGTGTGTGAATGGAGAGTGTACACTGCATTATGTTGTATATGTACAGTATTTGCAGCCTTTTTCTCTAGCCAACTTGCCACATTAAGCACATAATCATAAAAAGTTGAGTTTGGACACATCCATGTAGTTTTCTCGGCAAGAATATATGAAATTGGTTTGTTGTTATCTCTTTGTAGGATGTTTGTAAGACTTTCCAGTCTAGATTATAGTCCTGGGATTGTCTGGTCATCTTCCATCAAGGACTCACCAGATCCAAGCCTACTTAGCTCTTTAAGATGGGCTAACGGTATTTAATTCAGCTATTTTGAGATAAAAAGGCATGAATTTGTCTGCATCCTCATTTGGCCTCATGAAAAACTTATCAACACCAGATTACAAAATGGCTACTGTCAAGGCGAGTTGCCGCATATAAATGCTGCTTGTTGGACCCTGAGTTTTCCTGGGCTTGCCTGCTACTCTGCTTGGTATAAGGCCACATTTAATTTAGGCTCCTGAGTAGATTTTGAGTCAGTTACTTCATTTCTAAGACCAAAAGGGCAGAACCTCAGTTCTACCTGAAATCCAGCTGTTTCCTGAAGATCTTCCTTCCAGGTCAATCATGTTTCCAGATAGTCAGCAGTGAGGCAAAGGCACTTTGGTGGGATTCAAATAATTTAACAACCGGTTCTCTGCCCTCATGATTTCTTCCAACAACCAGTTTACCAAACTGCTCAGAAAGTTAACAACTGGTTCTCCTGAAGTGGAGAACTGGCTGAATCCCACCACTGCTTTATGCCCATTAAGCAGTGTGATTTTCTCCTGGCAAACCTCACGATTGTATTCACATACCTCAGCATCTGTTTTTTTTTTTTACATTTAGCTGCAGGTCAGACCATCTCCCAAGTGTCATTGTAGATGGCATAAGATCATCTCTGGGTTGGGCCCAAGCCCTGTTATCAGGGCCGGATTTTCCTATAGGCTAACTAGGCTTCAGCTTAGGGCCTCAAGATCAAGAGGGGCCTACATTCAAATTGTTAGCAAAATTAAAATTACACTATTCTAAAAACAGTGAACACTAAAACACTGAACCGAAAATAAGGAGAAATTCTACACATATGACTAATAAACAAACATAAAAATGTATTGGTTAAGATCGTTCTAGCGCCACGGCAGTTGGGGAGTCCGCCCACGTTCCCAGCACCGGCGGTCGGGCAAGAGGCCCGGCTGCTCCCAGTAGCTGCCCCGTCGACGCAGAGCCCACCAGCGGCTAGGCAGGTGAGGGCGAGGGGGCCGAGCCAGGAAGCTGAGCGCAGCAGGGGAGGCGGCTGGCCTCGCTGCCTTTGCCGCAGAGCAGAGCTGCCCTCCATCGGGAGGCCAGCTATATATATTGATATATATTGATATATATCACAGTAATAATGTATTTTATTGTCTCTCATGTAATTTACAAACTTAAAAATGGGTGGTGAAAGGGCCTCATAAGTGGAATAGCCTAGGGCCTCTTTTCATCTAAATCCGGACCTGCCTGTTACCCTCCAGTAGCAAACCTTCCTTCCTTTGCACCTCCTTTCTTGACAAGCACAGAAACATGAAGCACTTGCACTGGCTTCCTCCATGCCTTTCAGTGGATGACAAAGGATACACTGGGGACTTTGGTCGGGAGGCTTATAGTCACATTCTTCATCCCAGTTTGAAAGCACGATGCATAATAAGTCACTATAGATTATTGCAATGCTGGTCTGTGAGAGCCAAAAATCAGGAGCAGCGTGGTAGCACCTTCTCAGACTAGCAAATGTGATTAAAATGCATGAAGCTTGTACATTTTAATAAAGTTTGTTCGCCTGAAAAGGTCCTGCATAGGTTATAGCTGTGCAATAAGGTTGCCGTAGATTAGAGTGGCTTGCACATGAAATTGTGGGAATATTTTATTCCTCACCAAATTTGTTTCTGAGCTGGGATCAAGGAAACAGGCAATTGCATGAATTAAGTTCCTTATTTTTCACCCAAGAATGACAACAACAAGCTGTTAGATGGGCGGCTGCAAAGACCCTCTCCAGCCAGCACAGATATTACAATCTTCCACTCCTATAGCATACCACCCCTTACACACTCACTCATTTCCCTCTGCACATCATTCCATATAAGGAGCTTCCTTCCTTGCCCAGGCTTCTAGAGTTTCTAAGAACAATTATCTAAAGAGAATCCTTAAATTGTATACCTTAGAACAGAGCTGGCTGGAGAATTTTGGGAGTTGAAGTCCACAAGTCTTAAAGTTGCCAAGTTTGGGAACCACTGTCTTAGAACAGTGATGGTGAACCTTTTTGGCAACGAGAGCCGAAAATGGAGCGTGTGCACGCATGTGCGTGTGTCTGGGCCGAAACCCAGAAGAGGAGCTGCCCAGAGGGCATGTGCGTGCCGGAAAATGAACTTCTGGTTTTGGGTGCACACATGTGCACTGGCCAGCTAGTCTTCCAGTTACTGGTGCACATGCATGTTCAATGATCGGCCGGCCAGCATGTATGGTCACGGAGGAAAATTCGAAGACCAGTTCTTCCAGTTTATGGCATTGCCATAAAGGCCAGCTGATTGTCATGTATCCATACATGTCAGAAACCTGGAAGAGGAACAGGTGACACCACGCATGCCAGGCCACATGGCTTTGTGTGCCACTTTGGGCATGCGTGCCATTGATTTGCCTTAGAATGTATACCTACTCTCATTTCTCTGAGTAAATGCCTTTCAAGATTTGTGAACAATGCAGTGCAAGACAACCTACAAATTTTAAAGCAAAAAGAAATGAGCCTTGGTAAAAGTATAGGCGCTCAAATAAATTATACAGGTAGTCCTCAACTTACAACAGTTCCTTTAGCACTGAAAAAAGTGACTTATGACTATTTCCCACACTTGTGACTGTTGCAGCATCCCCACGGTCATGTGATCAAAATTCAGACAGTTGGCAACTGACTCACATTTATGACATTTGCATTGCCCTGGGGTCATGTCATCCTCTTCTGCGACCTTCTGACAAGCCAAGTCAATGGGGAAGCCAGATTCAATTTACAACCGTGTTACTTATCAACTGCAGTGATTCGCTTAACAAAGGAGGCAAGAATCATTGTAAAATGGGGCAAAACCTACTTAACAAATGTCTCACTTAACGACAGAAATTTTGGGCTCAATTGTGGTCGTAAGTCCAGGACTATCTGTATAATAAAAATGCAGTAATAGAAGAAGAAAAATAGAACAAAGTGAGGCCAGAACCAGGTTTACACTAGTGTACATCCTTTAACCTCTTCCCACAATTTGTTTTTCTTTTAACCAAGATGCATTGTTTCAAACAAAACACACAGGAGTAACTGAAAGGCACCCGAGGCTGTCTGTTCCCTGGGCCTATCTTGCTGTTTTGTTTAGACAATGGGTTTCGGTGAAGCCGTCCTGCCTCCCCTTCCCACTAGCAATCTCAGAGATGTCAGTGTGTGTTGCTGCTTTGCTGCTGACACAGGTTCCCTAGTAAGTAATGCAATGAGCTAACAAGATTATGGTTGTAAGCCACAACCTG